AAGCAGGCTTCCGGCTGAGTGAAGAGCCAGATGTGGGGCTGGATCCCAGGACCCTGGGAACATGACCTGAGCCAAAGGCAGTTGCTTAACCAACTGAACCACCCAGGTGCTCCATAAATAAATAAATCTTTAAAAAAAAAAAAAAAAAAGAATGGATTGGCTGGGTGATGATATGACCAATTAGAGATTTCAATAACTAATTAGGGTTTAGACAAGAAAAATGGCAATGGCAGTAAATTGCAAGGGACACAAAATCCAGCAAGAACTCTATGTGACTGACTCCATAAGACTTTGATGATTTGGGGGCGCCTGGGTGACTCAGTGAGTTAAAGCCTCTGCCTTCGGCTTAAGTCATGATCCCAGGGTCCTGGGATCAAGCCCCACATCTGGGCTCTCTGCTCAGCAGGGAACCTGCTCCTTACCACCTCCCCCCCAACCACCACCTGCCTCTCTGCCTACTTGTGATGTCTGTCTGTCAAATAAATAAATAAAATCTTAAAAAAAAAAAAAAGACTTTGGTGATTTGGAGTTTAGGGAGTTATGTTTCTGCCCTTAAATCACTGGGTATGATAACACATCTCAAAAAGAGAAAAAATCAGTTGACCCTTGAACAGCACAAGGGTTGGGGGCACTACCCCCTAAACTATGAAAAATACACGTATAAATTTTGACTCTTCCCAAACTTAACTACAAATAGCCTTACTGATGACATGAACAGCCAACAAACACATAGTTTGTGTGTTATGTGTTTTATGTACTATATTCTTACAATATAGGAAACTCAGGAAAAGAAAATGTTATTAAGAAAATCATAAGGAGGGGCGCCTGGGTGGCTCAGTGGGTTAAAGCCTCTGCCTTCTGCTCAGGTCATGGTCCCAGGGTCCTGGGATGGAGCCCCACCTCGGGCTCTCTGCTCAGCAGGGAGCCTGCTTCCTCCTCTCTCTCTCTGCCTGCCTCTCTGCCTACTTGTGATCTCTATCTGTCAAATAAATAAATAAAATCTTAAAAAAAAAAAAAAAGAAAATCATAAGGAAAAGGGATTTCCTGGGTGGCTTAGTAGCTTGAGCATCTGCTTCTTGATTCAGCTCAGGTCTTGATCTCAGGGTCGTAAGTTCAAGCCCCACATTGGGTTCCAGGATGGATATGGAGCCTTTACTTTAAAAAGACGGAAAGAAGAAAGGAAGGAAGGAAGGAAGGAATCGTCTTTTAGTTCAATTTTCATTTTCTTATTCAGAACACTGAAGAACTCAATAGCTATCCCTTCCACCTGCTAGTGACACCAAACCATACTTTCCAAACGGTTTCTCAGAAACTTAGGGTTCTGTGGGGTGCCTTATGGATTTTTATTTCCTGATCAGATCTGCCTCACTTTTTTTTTTTTTAGATATGACGATCTAATTGGCTTTATTAAGAGAGTAGCTTCACATTTATCTACTATATATGGATGCTTCATAAACGTTTACTCTTGTAGAGTTGTTCCTCTGATTTAAAAAAAGATTTTGAAAAGCACATATTTAAGAAGCATATACATTTATAAATATTTAGCTTAGAATATAGTAAGTAAAATATATTTGAAATAGGTAATACATTTTTACTTAAGAACTATTGTCTGTTACTGGAATGTTAGAACATAAGTGTTCATAAACAATTTTTTGCACGTGATTAAGAGCTTTCTTTGAGCCAGGCACTGTGCTAAGCATCAAGAGAAAAGAAGATGAGTGTGAGAACTTCAGAGGGTCACAATCTGGTAGGACAGAGTCACATTAGTCTGTGATCAGTGTCTACACCATATCCTTCAGGATCTGCATGAAGAGGGGCTTCACTCAAAAGGGAATCAGCATGGGATGAGGAGGAAGGTGGAAGCTAATGCAGTCTGTATAGCTACTACGGATTGAGCCTCTATTCTGAGCCAGACACAGAGCAAGGCCATGGCTCTCTGGAGCCTGCTGTCTAATTGGGAAGACGAAATTAAACAAGTAAAATCTCATCTATATACAGAATAACACATTCAAAGGTACTCTATGAAAGGAAAGAGTGAGAAAATAACAGGAGCAAAATTTTAAGGGTGACTCCAAGATATTGGCATTGAAGCGTAAAGAACCTGATAGAGGGGCTAATGATCCCTACAACGGCAATAATATTACAATATGAAAATGTATCAAATTAAATGTTGTACACTTTAAATTTACACAGTATTATGTGTCAAAAACACTTCAATGAAAAAAAGAGAGTTAAAGAATGAGAAGCCAGATGAATGAAGAGAGAGGAAAAGTGTTTAAAAAAAAAAAAAGCCATCCCCAAATCTCTTCAAACCAATTTACAATAAATACGGAGGTTAGAAAAATAGGCTAAATGGAGCAACAAATGAAATTAACGAAATCCAGGTAGGAGATGACGGGAAATTCACACAATTCTTTAAACAATAGCAAGAACAGTAACAAAAATATTCTAAGAAAAATAAAAGATGGAAGGAGAATTTACAGACTGGTATTTCTTTCAAAATAACTCAGGGAAGACGGGACTACATGATAGTTTTTTTTTTTTTTTTTAAAGATTTTATTTTTATTTATTTGGCAGACAGAGATCACAAGTAGGCAGAGAGGCAGGCAAGAGAGAGAGGAGGAAGTAGGCTCCCCACTGAGCAGAGAGCCCGATGTGGGGCTCGATCCCAGGACCCCGAGATAACGACCTGAGCCGAAGGCAGAGGCCTTAACCCACTGAGCCACCTGGGCACCCCATGTGGTAGTTGTGATGAAGTCAGATTGGCTGGATGTTAATAGTTGTTGAAACTGGATGATGGATACATGAGGTTTCATGATATTGTCTGCTTTTGCATGTGTTTGAACTTCCCCCTAATATAACATTTTCAAAGAGGAGGGAGGAAAATGCAAGAAAATAGATAAAATAATTGTATCGTAATAAATGTTAATAGAAAGAAAAATATGGTAATTAAATGCTCTTCATACCTGCCTAGCCTGACACAGGTATCAGTTCAGTTTACCAGGTTGGCTACCTCCTAAACCAGCCAGAAAAAGCCCACCAGGTGGGGTCACACCCAGGTGGGTGTAGACGTACTTTCTCTGCTGAATCTCCACAGGCTGATTTAGTTTCCATCCTGGAGGGGAGGAGCCAGGATTCCAACCATTATCTGCCTAATCCAAATGCATTTGTTCACACCCTGATCTAGTCAGGGTTTCTAGACTTTAGGTGCAAAAAGAATTACCCTAAGGGCTTGTTGAATTCTGAGTCCTGCCCTCAAGGATCCAATTCTGGAGGTCTAGAGTAAAGTCTTACAATCAATCTTTCTTTTTTTATTGTTTTCTTTCTTTCTTTTCGAAGATTTTATTTATTTATTTGACAGAGATCACGAGTGAACAGGGTAGCAGGCAGAGAGAGAGGGGTGGGGGAAGCAGGCTCCCTGCTGAGCAGAGAGCCAAATCCGGGGCTCGATTCCACAACCCTGAGATCATGACCCGAGCTGAAGGCAGAGGCTTAACCCACTGAGCTACCCAGGAGCCCCTACAATTTATTTTTCCAACCAGTTCTTCAGTAAACTGAAGCTGAGCGCTTGCTGATGGCACGCTGAAAGTAGTATATATTAAATTAAACTGATCTAGGCATCCTGGGTCCTGAGATGTGGGACCAGACCGAGGGACCAGACCATTTTCCTAGGGACAGAGAAAGCCCACAGTGAGACCAATGGATGCTAGTGCTCCCATACTTTAAAGGAAAATATTTATTAGCCCTGGCTCCTTTGAGTGACCTCTGAAAACATCTGTGACTTCTCTAGCCTCATCTTTCCAGCAGTTTCCAAGTTCTTGCAGCTCTGTATTCATTAGTCCACCATTTGCCTTATGGTTTTGGCTTTTGCTGCTCCTATCCTGAACAGCCAAACACTTCTCTTTAGCCAGCTCACCAGTAAGGCAGATTTAATATTTGTGTTTAGAATTAAATCCAAGAATTTAAATCTAATCTCCCAGTGAATGACACACCCATGAGCATAAATCAGTTATGAAATACCTCTGATTCTTTTTTTTTTTTTTTATCCCCTCCATAGTAACATCACTCAATCCATTGCCAATATTGTTCTGGAAATGTTTAAAACATTTTTTTTAAGATTTTTTTTTTTTTTTGAAAGACAGAGAGGGAACACAAGCAGGGGGAGTGGGAGAGGGAAAAGCAGGCTTCCTGCTGAGAAGCTTGATGGGGGGCTCGATCCCAGGACCCTGGGATCATGACCTGAGCCAAGCGCAGATGCTGAATGACTGAGCCACCCAGACACCCCTAAAAAAAATATATATATATATATTTTAAAGATTTTATTTATTTATTTGACAGACAGAGATTACAAGTAGGCAGAGAGGCAGGCAGAGAGAGAGGGGAAAGCAGGCTTCCCGCCGAGGAGAGAGCCCGATGTGGGGCTCGATCCCAGGACCCCGGGATCATGACCTGAGCTGAAGGCAGAGGCTTTTACCCACTGAGCCACCCAGGCGCCCCTAAAAATATTTTTTTTATTCATTTGCAACGTGTTACCAAGAATTTGTCACTTTCAGTTTTCTCCCAAGTCTCACCTTAAAGAAATAAAGACAAAAAATCTTTTGTTATTATTATTAAGTAAACTCTAAGTTCAATGGGCTCAAACTCACAGACTGGGAGATGAAGAGTCTTATGCTCTAGCTACAGGGCCAGCCAGGAGCCCCTAAAAATCTTTATTTTAAAATGTATTAAAATGTATTAAGAGTGATATTAATTACCCAGCATCTCGACTGTCATATAATGGACAAGACCTGGTGTAAAACCGATGACATTGTCACACCGGCAGATACTGCGGGAGGGGAAGAAGAGGAGGAAGGAAAACAGCTCTTCTGGGAAACAGGAAGTAGACAGAGACATTTGCTTATAAAAGGAGAAATCAGGCTGGAAGCCCTCAGGTGAAAAGACGTGAAGGGCAGATGTCCCGAGATAGACAGCTTTTGCCTTCCTCTGAATGTTCCCTGAAAATGGCGTACTCCGCTTACGAGAACAATGAGCAGGTAAGTTTAGTTCCAACCGGATCGATTTTCCCCATAGATTTCCCCCATAGATTCCCCATAGATGTTTCAAAAGTCTTTCCAGGGTTTGCTTATGTTTCCTTTTTGCCCCAAATCTTGGCGTCTGTCTGTGTCTAAGAAATCTCCGGTCTTGGAGTCTCTCCTCTTTACAAGTGGATTATTACTTTTCTTGCACGGAGTGTGGCTCTGAGAAAATTTGGGTGAGAGTGAGAAAGTAAAGATTGCCATTCCTAGGCCGAAGTAAGAGATCAATTCTGTAGAAAGACTTAGCTGAGCAAGAGAAAAACGTAAAGAAGTAGAGAGCGACACTAAAAAAGACAGTGAGAAAAGGTAATGTGAGTAAGGTCAGAAAGTAAAGTGACCAGTTTGTTTTCTTTATTCTGGGACTGTCTCCTACTCGCAGATATTAAATATGTGGTGATGATCGAGTCCTACCACTGCTCTGAGCCCCCACTTACCTCTAGAGTGGAGTAATAGTCCCCCGATAATTTTGTATGAATGTGTGCAGGAGTACTTTGAAAGAGTGTTACACAGGGGCGCCTGGCTCAGTCCGTCAGTGGAGCCTGTGTCCCTCGATCTGGGGTTCTAAGTTCAAGCCCCACGCTGGGTGTAGAGATGACTTAAAAATCAAATCTTAAAAAAAAAAAAAGAAAAAGTTGTACATATGCAGGATCAGAGTATGAGCAGTGGGAAGCCATTTCGGGAGGAAAGTGGGAAGGGAATGGCCCCATCAGGTCTTTTTTGAGAAGAAAGTATTGCGATAGGGCTGGAATGGAGTTTATTTACCTTCGGACTTGGGAGGAACCTTCAGCATAGTATACTCTGACGTGGTTCATTTAATTTTCGAGACTCAGTTATCGAATTTGTAAAATAGGAAAATGGATAAATTGCCATGAAGGTGCTATGAAGGTTAAATGAGCGAATTGCAGAAAGCACCTAGCACAGTACGTGTGTGCTATACAAAACCAGGAGGTGTGGGTTCCTTCCTACCTACCCATTCTGTCTGTATTTTGTTAGCTCATTAGAAGAGCTTTGACTGCCCACTTGGTGCTGGGCACTGCGTGTGCTGCTGTGATGGCAACAGAGTAAATTCACTCCCCTCTGGTCCTGGAGGTGAAATAAGGCCAGTATGGCAGGAGCTCAGAATGCTCAGGGGTCTTGAGCTGAGTGACAGGCAGAGGTCAGACTCCAGAAGTTTGTAGGTCGCACAAGGGAGTTCTGTCTTTAACCTGAATAGCAATGAGAAGCCATCGAAGCATTTTTCATTTCGTTTTGTTTTGTTTTTTAAAAGCAGGAGAGCAGTCTGCAGAAGGAATGGTTTCAGAATGGAGTTTGGAATGATAGGAAATTATTGTTTCTACCAATGAGAGTTGATGAGAGCTGGGGTTGGGAATCATGGGGAATCATGATAGAAGGTGGGAAGGTAGGAACACATTCCATACAGATTTAGCAGATAATATGCAAGTATTTGTTTCAGCTGAGGGAGAGGAAGGCCTTGACGGAGGTGGTTTCCCCAAACTCGAGACATATCCTTTCATTGACATCCACCTGTAAATCTACTTTTGTCCATTTCCTCATTGTTTCTCTACCATTTTTTATTTTTAAAAAGATTCTATTATTTATTTGAGAGAGAGTGCAAGCGAGGGAGAAGCAGAGGGAGAGGGAGAAGCCGGCTCTCTGCTGAGTGGGGAGCCTGACACGCAGCTTAGTCCCAGGACCCTGGGATCATAACAGGGCCTGAGGGCAGACACTTAACTGACTGAGCCACCCAGGCACCTGTCTTACCATTTTTAAAAATTTAAATTGTTAAAATGTTCTCTGCACCCAACGTGGGACTCAAACTCACAACCTCCAGACCAAGAGTCAACACATCCCATGGACTGAGCTAGCCAGGAAACCCTGTTTCTCTTACTTAATAAAGAGTCTGCTCTTAAACATTAAATTCAAGGAATCACTGTTGAGTCTTCTCTCCAGCCACCTATTGGTTTCTGAGTTTCTTATTAATTGTGCTTTGAATGTAAGCAGTTTAGTTGTATGGCATCAAATGAGAATCCTCGATGGATCCTTCCCTTTCCAGAATTTCTCTGAAGAGGCAGTAGAGGAAGAAAGTGTGATTCTCACATTGGTTCCAGTGAATGAGGAGCCTAATGAAGAACATCAAATGGAACCAAGTGTTTCTTCAACTTCAGAAATCAGCCTGATGATGCCTGGGTCAAGTGATAAAGGTATGAAGTCATGGATTGCTCAGTTTGCTGCTTCCCCAGTTCTGGGAAACTCAGGAAAATGATTTCTCTTTCTCTCTCTCTCTCTCTTTTTTTTTTTTTTTTTTTAAGATTTTATTTATTTATTTGACAGAGATCACAAGTAGGCAGAGAGAGAGGGGGAAGCAGGCTCCCCACTGAGCAGAGAGCCCGATGCGGGGCTCGATCCCAGGACCCTGAGATCATGACCTGAGCCGAAGGCAGAGGCTTAACCCACTGAGCCACCCAGGTGCCCCTTTTTTTTTTTTTTTTTTAAGATTTTATTTATTTATTTGACAGACAGAGATCACAAGTAGGCAGAGAGGCAGGCTGAAAGAGAGAGAGAGAGGAAGAAGCAGGCTCCCCGCTGAGCAGAGAGCATGATGCAGGGCTTGATCTCAGGACCCTGAGATCATGACCTGAGCTGAAGGCAGAGGCTTAACCCACTAAGCCACACAGGTGCCCCTAATTTCTCTTTCTATCTCTTAACTGTACAACACCAATCTTAAATCTCACCTTGATTACTTGGGTATGAGAGTTCTCAAACTCCCACACTTTTCAGTTGCTAGGCACCATGCCTTGCTTTTAAGACACAAAAAAATGGGCATGTGGAGTGCCTTGGACAGAGTGTAGTTCTTACAGGAAAGGAAAGGAATTCATGATTCCCATCCCATGAAGCTCAATCTTGTCTTTGTTTTGGTTGACACATATTTTATACACCTTTTGTAAAGAGAAGTGATTTTTTCCAGCTTTGAAATATAATCCATTGGTAACCCTATGTAATCTTAAGGTGTACAGTGTGATGATTGATACACATCTATATTGCCAAATGATTGCTCAAATAAGGTTAAATAGCATATCCAGGGTACCTGGGTGGCTTAGTTGTTAAGCACCTGCCTTCGGCTCAAGTCATGATCCCAGGATCCTGGGATCGAGTCCCATGTCGGGCTCCCTGCTCAACAGGAAGCCTGCTTCTCCCCTCCCACTCCCCCTGCTTGTGTTCCATCTCTTGCTGTGTCTCTCTCTGTCAAATAAATAAATAAAAATCTTTAAAATGAATGAATGAATGAATGAGTAACATATCCATCACTTCACATAGTTCCCTACTCCCACCACATCTTGTGGTGATTAAATATTTGCTCTCAGCAACTTTATTTTATTTTTGAGAGAGAGAGAGAGAGAGAGAGCACATGTACACATGTGAGTGAGTGCATGTTGAGGGGGATGAGGGCCAGAGGGTGAGGGAGAGAATCTCTTTGTTGTTGTTTGTTTTTAAATATTTTATTTATTTATTTGTCAGAGAGAGAGCAAGCAAGCCCAGTGCAGGGGGAGCAGCAGGCTGAGGGAGAAGCAGTTTCCCCACTGAGCAAGGACTCTGATATAGGACTTGATCTCAGGACCCTGGGATCATGACCTGAGCTGAAGGCAGACACGTAACCAACTGAGCCACCCAGGTGTCCCAAGAGAGAGAATCTTAAGTAGGCTCCTTGCTCAGCACAGGGCGTGATATGGGGCTCAATCTCACGACCTTGAGATCATGACCTGAAACAGAATCAAGTTTCGTTTAAGACACTTAACCGACTGAGCCACTCAGGGACCCCTGCTCTCAGCAACTTTGAAACATACAGCATAATATTGTTAACAGTAGGCACTAAGCTATAAATGAGATCCCCAGAACTTACTCATATAGCTGAAAATTTGTACCCTTTGATCAATATCTCCTCAGATTAGTATTTTGCTTGGTAAATAATTACTGATCAAATATCTAGCAGCTTTTAATGTCATGACCCTTTAAATCTGTTCTTAGTATTTCACATAAGGGCATCAGATCTGTATTTTCAGAATGATTGTATTTTCTGGGCCAAGAACGAGGACTTCAACACATAGTAAACAGTGACAGGTTACACCTGAGGAGAGTGAGGTGAGGTGGGGTGCTGATGAGGAGAAGGAGGTAGGCTGATGGAATGCAGTATTGTTAGTGGCTGGGTGATTTCTGTAGGGACAACTCGTATTTTTGGTCCCAAATCTAGACATTTTGGAGTAGCAATCCAATTTTAATGTTCTATGCAGGTGGCTATTGGTAGTTATAAAAAACAAGATTTTGAATTATAAAATGGAGGGGTGCCTGGATGGCTCAGTGGGTTAAGCCTCTGCCTCTGGCTCAGGTCATGATCTCAGGGTCCTGGGATCCAGCCCCACATCAGGCTCTCTGCTCAGCAGGGAACCTGCTTCCCCCTCTCTCTCTGCCTACCTCTGCCTACTTGTGACCTCTCTCTCTCTCTCTCTTTCTCTCTCTGTTAAATAAATTAAAAAATCTTAAAAAAAATCATAAAATGGAGGTTGGATTTCCAGGTCTGCCATTTTAATGGAGATGTGATCTTGGGTAAGTCATTTAATTACAGAATCTGTTACTTGTAGTAGAAGAAAAATATTTGATGTGTGTGTGTATAAATTGGGTTGTAAGAAATTAGCAAGAACTTTGTTAGGTTGTCATCTTAAAAATTAAATTATCACTACTTTGATTTTCTTCTTTTCTCAGTTTGTCATCCTCAGATAAATGAGCAATTCAAGTTTTGTCCAAAACACAGTTGTAATATGCAAGTCCTTCCCTTACCAACCAGTTTGCCTTCATTTAATAAAGTACGTTGGGACACTTTGCGGAACTGGTGCCAACAACTGAATTTGAGTACCGATGGCCGGGTGAGTGCACTGGTGGGAAACTGCTGCACAGAGCAAGTGTGGAAAGCTTTGCCAGTTTGTAATTTTCATTTCCCCTCTTAATGTCCTTAGAAAATAGAGGTTTATATGAGGCTCCAGAAACATGCTTACCCTGAAATAAACCAGGTGAGTAAGGAGTGTGGTGAGAATGGAAAGGTGAGTTCTGATTGTGAATTGTTCCTTCTATTCCACCATTTCTATAAATGTTGTATCTCTGAGGCAAGGGCTGTTGACATTTTGGATAAAGAAGTTGTTGTATATATAATACAAAGGAATATTATTTAGCCATAAAAAGAAAAAAAAAATCTTTGCCATTTATGACAAAGGATCGACCTACAGGGTATTCAGATAAGTCAGACAGAGAGACAAATATATGATTTCACTTATATGTGGAATCTAAAAACAAACAAAACAGAAGCGAAGTCACAGAAACAGGGAATGATCTGGAGGTTGCCTGATGGAGAGGATTGGGGGGATGGACAGAATAAGGGATAGGAATTAAAAGATACTAACTTCCAGTTATAAAGTAGATAAGACATTGGGGATGCAGTGTACAGCACAGGGAATATAGTCAGTCATATTATAACAACTTTGTATGGTGACAGATGGTAGCTAGACTTAGACAGTGATCACTTGGTAATGTATATAAATGTTGAATCAGTATGTTTTACACCCAAAACTAATAAAATACTGTATGTGAACTATACTTCAATTAAAAAAAAAAAAAGACTATGGACATTTTGGGCCAAATACCTTGCTTTGGTTGCAGTGGGGGAGTTGTCTCATGCATTTTAGGCCTAAACATCCCTGGCCTCTACTCACTAAATGTCAGTGGCAATGTCTTTTGCTTTCCCCACTCCCATACCCCCAGTTTTAACAATTAGAAATTTCTCTTAGTTGCTCGAAGGGAACTAATAATCTTAAGTATTTCCTACACTTAACACATATGGGTCAATGTATAAAAAATGATAAAATTGACACAAAACACAAAAGTCCTCAGGGCAGTAGCACTTCTCTGAAACCTCACCATGAATCCCATTTGCAGAATATTCCTGAAACATCACCAGAAGCTAAATTGCAGTCATGTTCAAGGAAAGGCAAGATGGTGGCCAAGAAAGCAAGGCTTTGGAAAAGTTGTAAGAAGAGTGAGAGAGAGGAGGGGATTAATACAGTCGAGGTGGTAACATCAGCACAGGAAGGCATGTTGGCAGCATGGTCAAGAATTGCTGCGAGAGCCAGTCAGTCCAAGTCTGTGAATTCACGTTCCATTCCTGCTTCTGTTGAGACCTTTCTGCTGCAAGCCTCTGGTAAGATCACCTTAAAAGAGTGAGCACTGGGTGGGGCTGGCTGGCTCAGTCCGTAGAGCATGCAAACTCTAGTAGATCTCATGGATCATGAGCTCAAGCCCCACATTGGGTACAGAGCCTACTTCAGAAAAAAAGACTGAGGAGTATTCCAGAGAAAGAAGTCCTCCACTGAAAGACATTAAAAGGGAAAGAGCTAAAAAACTGTAGATTGGATAGGAGATTTACATAGGAATTATCCTTTCATTGACAGGTAGTCAAGTTTTGCATGGACCAGTGTCTAAGCTAGGTGATTGAGTGGTGACCCTTTTTCATCATAGCAAAAATTTAAGGTGGGAAGAAAGCATAATCTGATAATGTGGTCAACCACAGTCTGAGGCCTTCCCCTTTCTCTCCCTCCTTCAAGGCTGTTGTAACACTCAATAAGCATGTGGGTGTGAGAACTGAACAACTTCCATTTAAATCCTTACTTCCTAGGTCTCTGGCATTGGCACTTTAGCTTAAGCCATGGTATCCTGATTTACACAGATGGTGGCAACTATTGTGCTTCCTAGAATGATTTTGAGACTTAGAAGATACAATTTGGCACTTTAAAAGCCCTCATAAGGGATCTGGGGAGTAACTTAGCTCCACTTTGGGCCAGCTCTGGCTCCTGAATGTCATATTTCTGTTTTCATCTCCTGTAGACACCATCTCAGGCCAGCACAAGGTCCCCTTCCTTCTCTTCGGCTTGAATTCTTTCCTGCTCTTCACCCCATTACCAGAAGTGATCTCGATGTTTTTATATGCAGGGCTGATGTTCACTCACAAGAAATCCAGCCAGAGGGAAGACAGGGAGTGGAAATGGGCCTGCTGTCTGCTCCCCACGCTGCACCCCCTTCTGTGAGAGCAGTGGGCACCTCTTGCTTACTTGCACAAGCACTGTGCAGTCCCGGAGCTGTTTCTGGAGGACCGAGGTCCCAGAGAAGACCGCTCTTTCCGATTTTCATTAATGTGCCGAATGAGCTAGTAGCATCCCACACATGCTAAATCAGCCTTTTAGTTCCTCTTCATTCATCAGTTATTAAGCACCTACTGTGATCCATGAGTGTGCCTAGCCTCCAGCTGCACTGTGCTAAACACACACAGTTTCTCCTCCTTAGAACGGAGAGAGATTTTACAGCTATATAAGCCCCCAGTGACTGTTCCTTTCTCTCAGTTTCATATGTTTGATATCTGTAGGACTTTGCTTTCTCTCAAATATCCCATCTTCCCAATTAGATTGTTCCTTAGGCTTTTATTTAGTTATTTATTTATTAAGATTTTATTTGAGAGAGTGAGAGTGTTGCACGCACACAGACTCAGAAGCAAGGTGGAAGTTGGGAAGGAGGGAGAAGGGGCAGAGGGAGAGAGAGAAGCAGACTCCCTGCTGAGCAGATAGAGGGCTCCATCCCAGGACCCTGGGATCAAGACCTGAGCCGAAGTCAGAGGCCTAACCGACTGAGCCACTCGGGCACCCTGTTCCTTAGACTCGGTTAAACTGAGATCCTTTTGCCTGTTTTGTGTAGTTGAGGAAATGTAATGGTTGGGCAAATGGGCTATGAATCAGAATATCTTATCCATGTCTTGGTCTGGGAAAGTTAACGATATTTAACATAAGCTACGCTATGACCTGCAAATAAAAGTAAAAGGTAAATATTAATTATGCTCTTAAGAATAAATGTATTCATCCATGTAAACCACTTAGCAAAATCTTAGAGACAGAGCAACCATTCCCAAAATTGTTACCTCTTGCACTATGTAATTTGTGAAGTCAGATTGTAGTATCTTTGGTGTACATTTTTCTTACTTTTCGTTCAGTTGATTGATCAAGAGAATATAAGAGTAGAACTGAGAGTGACTTGCTGAGAGGTTGGGTTAGGGCGCTCTCACTTGATTTTTGCTGTTTGTGTTTGCTTCCCTTTCTCTCCTCAGGTGTCCGGTGGTGTGTGGTCCATGGCAGACCTCTCTTGGCAGACACACAAGGTTGGGTTCGCCTGCAATTTCATGCAGGTCAGGCCTGGGTGCCTGACACTCCCAAAAGGATGATCTCTCTCTTCCTGTTACCCGCCTGCACTTTCCCACCCCCAGGCCTAGAAGACAACATGTTATGCCCTGAATGTGTGAAGAGGTAACCCTTAAGTATTTTTCTAAGTGTGGCACACAGCAAAGGAGATGTCTGGATAGGTTTCTGAAAAATTTAGTAGGAGAATGCAGAAGGCAGTGTGCTGTTTTCTTAATTTGCCATATAGATCAGGCAAAAATAGGAAGCAGAAAACTTAGTGGTGGATTAGAACTCAGATAAATGTGGCTTCTTAGAAACTTTAACAAAGTATCCAAGTTAGGACCTTAACTGCCTCCATTTTAGAGACATGTTTTAAGGGAAAATAAATAAATAAAAGACTTGGAGTTCAAATACAAGATTCTTTCCTGGGGATACACAAATTAGAAAGATAAAATCAGTGTAGCACTCGAGAACGAAAAGGAGTAGGAGATGCTGTGAAAATGTAGGGGTAGTACCTACATTGGGGTAGCTTAGAGAAACTTCCCAAAGGATTAATGTACTGAGAGAAGGTTTACCATTTGGACGGTAATAATTAGGGTGGCCTAACTAGTGGAAACAACCCATACAAATGCATGGAAGTCAAAGAATATGACATACTTAGAAATTGCAAATAGGTCAATATGTCGGAAGCTTATACTGACAAATGAGTGGGAAAAGGGAGGAGCAGACCAAGTTTTATATCTATGTAAAAGTTCTTTTTTTCCCACAAGTTTTCTATCTATATAAAAGTTCTCTCTCTCTCTCTTTAAAAAAAAAAAAAAAAGATTTATTTGTCAGAGCACAAGCAGGGAGAATGGAGGGAGAAGGAGAAATAGGCTCCCTCCTGAACAAGGACCCCTGTGCAGGATTGGATTCCATGACCCTGAGATCATGATCTGAGCTGAAGGTAGACACTTAACCGACTGAGCCACCCAGGCGTCCCTAAACGGTCTCATAACCTGTGGCACTTAATTTCTTAGTCACTTAGGGACATGGACTCCTTTGAGAATATAACTGTATACTCACCATCCAGGGAAATTTACACTGAGCATACACATAAGCTCTGCTTCAGATTTTATATAGACCATAGCACTCCTGATGTTTGAATACAAAATTCAGCTTTTGACAATGGAATTGGGTGGAGGTAATAGGAGAGTGGAGGAAACCTAAGGCTCTTTTAAATGAAGTGGATTGAAATCTTGCAACAGAAACTAAATTTGAAGGTAAGAGATTACTATAATAATTCTGGAAAGATGCAATCTATGAGCTTGGCAAAGAATTTAAAGAGGAATGGAACAAATTTAAGGGATGTAGGAATACAGGGAAGAGTTGTTAACTTATTAGATGGAAAGGTAGAGTGCAGTTCAGTGGCCAGGAATGTGATACATGCTGGCCAGGAGTCTAAAATTCTGGGAGAAGTATAGGGTGTAGAGAAGCACAGTTGGGAATCTTTATCCTATAAATTGTCCATAGGATTATGTAGAGGAAAGAACCTAAAAGAGAATCAGCATATCAGTGGCAGGTGAGAAATGGAGACTGAAAACATACAGGTAGAGGCTGAAATAGAAGTGGAAAAAGGAAGCAGTGGGCAGAATTTCAGAGGGAAGTGGTTGGCAGTGAGATGGCCGTGTAAGACTATGGTTAATGCAGTGCTGTTAGGGATGTCAGTTTAGGACACCATTGGTGGTCTTTTGGAGAGTATGTTGAGAGGGGCAGTAGAAACAGTAGGGTAGGTTTTTTTGTTTTGTTTTGTTTTTTTAAAGATCTTATTTATTTGACAGATCACAGGTAGGCAGAGAGGCAGGTGGGGTGGGATGGGGTCAGGCACCCTGCTGAGCAAAGCTGATGTGGGGTTCCATCCCAGGCCCCAGGATCATGACCCAAGCCAAAGGCAGAGGCTTTGACCCACTGAGTCACCCAGGTGCCCCTTGTGTTTTTTTTTTGTTTTGTTTTGTTTTGTTTTTAATATTTATTAGACAGTGAGAGGGAACACAAGCAGGGAATGGGAGAGGGAGAAGCAGGCTTTCCGCTGAGCAGGGAGTCCAATGCAGAGCTTCATCCCAGGACCCTGGGATCATGACCTGAGCCAAAGGCAGACGCTTAATGACTGAGCCACCCAGGCGCCCCAGAATAGGGTTGTTTTAAGTTGGAGTAGAACATGTAAAAAACTAGGAGCAGAACATACTTAATAATCTGTTCTGCATGAGTGAAGAATGAGATAGTAGTTGAGGCAGAAATATTAAGGGAGCTTTTTGCTTCCATCCGTCCTTCTTTTCTCCCTTCCTTGCTTTTTTCTTTTCTTGTTTCTTTCTAGTGATAAATAGGAAAACCATGATTGAGTATGAAGAGAGAAGGAGTGTGGGAAGAAGCTGCAGGAAGAAAAGGGAAAGTGTAAATATAAAGGAAGTGGCGCTGGGGTGCCTGGTTGGTTCAGTTGGTAGAGTGTGCTGCTCTTGATCTTGGAGGTCATGAGTTTCAGCCCTGCGTTGGGTGTAGAGATTACTTACAAATGAGTAAACAAATGTTGAAAATAAGTAAAGGAAGTGGAACCAATTGGAGAAAAAGAAGAAGAACCTGATACTAAGTGTAGTCCAGTTCCCTTTCTTTACCACATAAAGTATTTTTACCCACCGTTCTTAGGTGGTGAGGCAAGCTACTAAGGAACTCCAGAAGTGGATTCCACATTTATTGTACTTGGTATGGGATGGTCTGTCTTATTCTTAAGAATTTTTCCAAAATTCTTTACTAAATTCCTTTACAGAAATAAGAAGATGATGAAAAGATTAATTGCACTGGGGAAGGAAAAGCGACCTCGTTTGAATAGACCAACATCATTCCCTTTGGATGGGCCATATCTTAATAAAGAATAAGTGGTGGAGAGCCCACAGCTGCCATTGACTTGCCTCCCAGTGACTGGTTGCTGCGCTCTGTCCTAGCCGGCCTTAGTGTTTGTTGCTTGATAGGTTGAGTACAGATGGGACTGTCCGGATTCTGTACTTGACATCTGACAAGAAGTGACTGCTACTGCTGCTTTGAGCATTTGGTTCTATAGAATATAAATCAGTTCTGCTTTAATTAATAAATTTTTTAAAGTTTTAGGTTTTCAGAAAAATCGAGCAGAAAGCACAGAGCTCTGAAATACTGCTCCAGCCCTTTCCCCTACTGTTAGCAGCCTGCACCAGAGTGGTACAGCTGTTGAACCTATGTTGACGATCGTTACCACCCAAAGCCCATAGTTCACAACAGGTTCACTTTTTGTGTCATGTGGTCTAGGGCCTTGACAAGTAGATGATGACTGCCTACATCCTCACCATCACAGTGTCATCAGAATAGCTTCCCTGCTCTAAAATTTTCACATTCCATCTGTTCAACACGCTCGTAGCTCCTGATCACTCTGTAGCTTTGCCTTTTCTAGAATGTCATATATTTGGAATCATATGGTAGCCCTTTCAGACTAATTTCACAGCAATGTGCATTTAAGATTCCACCTTTTCACGGCTTAGTATTCCACTTCTTAGTGCTAAATAGCCCATTGCCTGCATGTTCCTCAGTTTATTCATTCACATATTAAGTCATCCAGGCTGCTTCCATCTTTTAGCAATTATGAGTAAAGCTGCCGTGAACATCTGTGTGTAGGTTGTCTCAGCATACGTTTCAGCATGATTGCTGGATCATGGGGTAAAAGTGTGTTCAGTTTTAGAAGAAACTGGCGATGTGTCTCCCAGAGGGGCTGGTATTTTGCATTCCCACCAGCAATGATTGAGGGTTCCTGTTGCTCCAGTTTCTTACCAGCATTTGGTGGTGTCAGTGCTCTAGATCTTGGCCATCCTAATGGGTGTGTGGAAACATCTCTTCTTAATTTGCGGTTCCCCAGTAACCTGAAATGTGTCGTATATCATATGCTTATTTGTCATCTGATATCTGGTAAAGTAGCCAGGGTTTTTGCCTATTTTTTCATCTGGTTCACTTTTTTATTGTTGGGTTCTTTTATATTTTGAGTGAATATATTTATTGGATAAGTCTTAAGATATTTTTCCTAGTCTGTGGCTTGTCTTACTCTCTTGATCAATTTGTATATTTAGATCACTGACACTGATATAAATGGCTTAATATCTGTATTTGCTTTCAATGCCTTTTATGTATTACAAGTTTTTAATCCACAAGCTCTTAAGGCTATATGGCTACTGTTAAAATCTTTTTAAAAACTGAAGTATGGTTGATAGAATACTACATTAGTTTCAGGTGTACAACATAGTAATTTGACATTACATACGTTAGAAAATGCTCACTAGGATAAGTTAAAAAATGCTCATTTGTCACCATTCAGGGTTATTTTAATATTACTGATTATATTACCTAGGCTGTACTTCTTATTCTTTTTTTTTTTTTAAAGATTTTATTTATTTATTTGATAGATCACAAGCAGGCAGAGAGGCAGGCAGAGCGAGAGGAGGAAGCAGGCTCCCCGCTGAGCAGAGAGCCCGATGCGGGGCTCGATCCCAGGACTCCGAGATCATGACCTGAGCCGAAGGCAGCGGCTTAACCCACTGAGCCACCCAGGCGCCCCTGTACTTCTTATTCTTACGACTTATTTTTTTAACAACTGAAAGTTTGTACCTCTTTTTTAAAGATTTTTTTCTTATTTGACAGAAATCACAAGTAGGCAGAGAGGCAGACAGAGGAGGAAACAGGCTCTCTGCTCAGCAGGGAGCCTTATGTGGGGCTTGATCCCAGGACCCTGAGATCATGACCTGACTTGAAGGCAGAGGCTTAACCCACTGAGCCACCCAGGTGCCCTAAAAGTTTGTACCTCTTAATATCCCCAAATCCTTTCATTTTGCCCATCCTCCTACCCCCTTCCCTCTGGCAAACACCAGTTCTCTGGTTTTGTGTTTTGTTTTTTTTTAGATTCTATATGTAAGGGAAATTATATGGTAGTTGTCCTCTGTTACTTAGCACAATACCTTGTAGGTCCATACATCTTGCAATGGCTAGATATTTTTTATGGCTGAGTAATACTTCATTGTATATATACACATGACATCTTTATCCATTCATCTATCAGTGGACACTTGGGCTGCTTCCATATCTTGGCTGTTGTACAATGAACATAAGGCTGGATGTATCTTTTTGAATTACTGCTTCCATTTTCTCTGGATAAGTACCCAGACATGTAATTGCCAGATTATATGGTAGTTCTGTTTTTAGTTTTTTTTGTGGAAGCTTCCTACTGTTTTCCACAGCAGCTGCAACAATTTACATTCCTAGCAACTTACTAAATAAGCCAAAATCCAAAACACTATCTAATCCAATATACCTTCAACAAAATATAAACTGAATTCAATAGCATATTAAAAGGATTATATACTACAACCAAGTGGGATTTATCCCTGTATTTAAGGGTGGTTTGACCTAAGAAAAATCAATGTAATATGCCTATTAATAGAATGAAGAAGAAAAATACCTCAAAAAAGGCATTTATCAAAAGCCAAAACCCCTTTGTGATGAAAACATTAAGCAAGGAATAGAAGAGCACTTCCTCAACATTATAGGGGCCATATAGGAAAAGTCTACAACCAATGTACTCTGTGGTAAAAGGCAGAAAGTTATTCTAAAGTTAGGAGAAAGATGAGAATGCCTGTTGTCACCACCTCGATTCAGTATAGTACTGGGATTTCTAGCCAGAGAAAATTAGACAAGAGAAAAAGTCCTCTACATTGGAAAGGCAGAAGTAAAACTACACACAGGTTATTCAGAAAAATCATTCCTCAAAAACCTGTTAAAGCTAATTAACAAATAGAGCAAATTTTTCAGAATATAAAATCATCACAAAATATAGGTTGTATTTTTTAAACATTTTATTTTATAATATAGAGTGAGAAGGAGCAGAGGGAGAGGAAGAGAAAATTCAATGCAGATTCCAACCAGAGCAGAGAGTCTGAGGTGAGGCTCGATCCCAGGACCCTGAGATCATGACCATTGAAATCAAGAATCAGATGCTTACCCGACAGAGCCTCCCAGGTGCCCCAATACCAGTTCTATTTCTTATATATTAGCAGTGATGACCTGAAGAGGAAATTAAAATGATTCTATTAACAGTAGCATCAAAAATAGTATAAAGTAGGGGCACCTGGGTGGCTCAGTGGGTTAAGCCTCTGCCTTCGGCTCAGGTCATGATCTCAGGGTCCTGGGATCGAGCCCCGCATCGGGCTCTCTGCTCAGTGGGGAGCCTGCTTCTCCCTCTCTCTCTGCCTTTCTCTCTGCCTACTTGTAATCTCTGTCAAATAAATAAATAAAATATTTTTTAAAAATAGTATAAAGTAAGGGATAAACTTGAGGTATAGAACTTGTACACCAAAGACTACAGAGCATTGCTGAAAACTACTTTTCCCTCTTGGCTCATTAGTGTGGTAAAGTATACTGACCTATTTCAAATATAAGAACACACTTGTACTTTTTATATTGCTGCTTACAGTGATGCATTTTATTATTACATTTTACATATTTGAAAAATTTTGCTCCAAAGTTGAAAGAATACAATCCACTATTTGTTAATATTTTGCCACATTTGATGAAACTTTCCATTTGTTTTCGACTGATTATCCTGCCCAATAGAGTAAACAGACATGCTTTGCACCTCCATACTTCAGCATGCACCTAAAAATAAGGACTTTTTTTATATAATCACAATATCATTATCAAACCTAAGAAACAGTCATTGCATAATAATATATAATATCTAGTTCATATTCAAATATGCTTAATTGTCCCAAAAATACTTTTTGTGCTTTCTTTTAAAGCTCTAAGATTCAATCGCATTTCAGACATTCTATTTGATTATAATTTCTATTTCATTTTAATCAAGAAAGATCTCTTTTTAATGATACTTTTTGAAGAGAAAAGGTCAGTTTTCTTGTACAGTGTACCACATTCTGGATTGTTTCCTCATGGTGTTCTTTGACTAATTCTTATTGTTTCATGTAAGGTCAAAATTAAAGCCAGAGGTTTGATTAGATTAAGATAGAACACCTTTTTTCTTAAAAAAAGATTTTATTTATTTATTTATTTTTAATTAATTAATTAATTAATTAATTTTTAAAAATTTTTTTTTAAAGATTTTATTTATTTGACAGAGAGAGAGAGATCACAAGTAGGCAGAGAGGCAGGCAGAGAGAGAGAGGGGGAAGCAGGCTCTCTGCTGAGCAGAGAACCCGATGTGGGGCTCGATCCCAGGACCCCGAGATCATGACCTGAGCCGAAGGCAGAGGCTTCAACCCACTGAGCCACCCAGGCGCCCCAAGATTTTATTTATTTATTTGACAGAGATCACCAGTAGAGAGGCAGGCAGAGAGAGAAAGAGGGAAGCAGGCTCCCTGCTGAGCAGAGAGCCCAATGTGGGACTCAATCCCAGGACCCTGCGATCATGACCTGAGTGGAAGGCAGCGGCTTAACCCACTGAGCCACCCAGGCGCCCCAAGATAGAACACTTCTGGCAGGAATACCCCATGCCCAAGATCTAGGACTTCATACTGCATTGCACAGGAAGGTACATAATTCAGATTATCTCATCATTATACTAAAAATGTTACCACCTTATTAAAGGGATGACTGCTAGATTTCTCTAAGGTCTATTGGCAATTTTCGCTTTGGGATTTGTAACTATTCTATAGGGTGGTACCTTGACACAATGTGACTATCTTAGCCTTTCTTGGCAACTTTTCACCCAGTGAATTTTAGCATCCAGTTGTCATTGCTGGCCCTTTCCCTGCCTCTGTGCTGACCTAGGTTCTTGAGTTAAACCAAGAAAGAATTTAGAGCCAACCCCCCAAGAAATTAAAAATTTAATAGCAGTTAAGGGGCACCTGGCTGG